AGAATTACAAGATTTTATAGAATTTTATTAATAAAATTATACAAAATCTTATTATTCTCGAATGTTTACTAATCAATTCTAACTTCATGCACTAAGTAAACTTGTTTAGCACAAAAAAATACATATATAAATATTCGAACTTCAAACTAGTTTGACAAACTTCGGACCAAACCCAGACTGAACTCGAACTTGACTAAAAAATTTGAAACAAAAAGTTTGAGTTCAGTTCGAAAATCGAACTGGATTCAAACTTGACAAAAGTCCGGTTCAGTCCGATCCGATAGGAGCCCTACTAGTGATGCTGATTGTAGTGATTAGGAAAAATATAAACAGGGCAAGATTGATTGATATAGAAAAAAAATTTTTTTTTGTTTTTTATATGTCTTTACTTTGGTAAAGTTTTTATATTAATAAAGCAAGGTTCCGGGCACGAAGTGCCATTATTTTGAAATATGTTATTTTTGGAGTGACTTATACTCTGTGTAGCGTAAAATAAAGAGAAGCTCTATTTTTTATTTTATTATGATTGTGTGAATGGGTAGAAAAATTAGTCAAGATTTAAATGTGTATAAATAGAGGTATAGCCATGATGTATTATGAAACAAAAATTTATAAACGTACTTTTATTTCCATGATTGAAATTGTAATATAATAGCAAAATGTGATTTATTTTTTGGCTAGAACTGGCTAAAAATTTGTACAAATTGATTATAAGTTTTTTCTCATTCTTCTATAAGATTATTAAGCCATGCAGTACTTAAACCGCTCTTTACCATACTATGATGTAATAACTCTTCACCGACCAGCCTCTCCCGATCTGTTAAAAATTCACGATATTTTCTAGGATCTTCTTTACTTTCTATTTCACTGTGATAAAAGTGTATGTCTCTTTCCAAATCTCTACGAAAACATCTCATGTCCATCTATTTTTCTCAGCTTCTGTAATAACTGAAAATTTCTTGGGATCTATTTTATGCTCGATGGCATATTGGCATAAGCCTGCCTCTGGCTGATAAAGACAGGTTTTGTTTGATATACTTATTTAAATTTCTGGTGTGCTCTATATAGCAATTATAACTTTTGATTAATATAAAAAGAGCAATTAAGAAAATAGTAATCATTTTTACTGAGACAGTGCCAATTGCCCATATACCTCAATGTGTATGTACCTCTTTGCATACTGGGCATTTAGCTTCTGAATCAGTATATTTAAAAACATCCTAGTGCCATACATTTGAATTAGTATATGATAAGAAAAGAAAACATTTATGTACTGCTTTATGGATTGTGCTTTTTTCTTATAGAAACTTAGAAATCTTAATAACACAATCCTGTGAAAAGTAATTATCAGTCTTTTCAATTTGTAGGGGTTGGGGAGTTTTAGACATTATCCAGAGATCGAGCCCAGTTTTTTTCTTATATATTTTATATAACTTAGAACAAAGTTTATCAGATATAGTAGTTGGCAAATCAGTTAATTTAGAATACCAATCTAGATATTTGGGGGTTAATACCTTATCAGACTTGACTTGTGTATCCATGTTGTCATTTAAGTAATTCTAAAGCAATTTAAAATGTCAAATAATTTAACTGCAGAACATCCAAATAAAATTATCAATTTATCAAATGAGATTATCAAAATAATTAACAATTTTAATCATTTAGATTTAAAAAATGATTACTCTTTTAGTGAAATTGTTAAAGAATTATATAATAGATATAATGAAATCTCTCATTGGATATCACATACTAAAAAATATTATTTCCTTACCACTCACAAGTTCGTGTCCAGATGTATACAGTTGATGAGTTTTTTAATGCATCTCCGAGTGTACATTAACTACAATACTATATACACTCCACTGACAATGAGAGTAATAAATTGGCGAGATTTATACAGTAATTTGAATTTCGCGCTGTTTATATTTAATATAGTATGATCCAATTTCATGTTTACCTTCTAAGTCTTCCTTATCATCATGATCTAAATTGCTAATGTCTCAGCAGTAATTCCGTAATAATCAACATTTTCACTACTAAATTCATAATATATATCAGGATATTGCTCCAATATTTTGTTGCGGAAATTAGCACAGGTATGGGTTGGATTAAATGATTTGATTTCTGGATTGTTTTCTTGGGATAGCTTAGATGAATCGGAATCATGAGTTTCATTAGATATACTTATCTCGGTTTCTGATAAAGATTTATCTTCCTCACTTATTTCATTTTCCGAATTAAAGATGTAAGATAATGGGACAGAGGGAGTGGTTGTAATACTTACCTCTGTTTCTGGTAAGGTCTTAATTTCTTCGCATACTTCAGCTTCTGTCAAAACATCTGAAGAATTGTCGATAAACTCATCTCGATCAGTACTCAATTCTGTATTGGGATTCTTGGAGAAATAATCAATAATGGTTTGAATTTTGTCATTAGTTAATTCAGAGATAGAGTTTGCACTATATGTTTTAATATACTTAATTTTGTCTATGCCTATTTTTTCGAAAAATTCATAAATTCTTCTAGCTCTTTGAATTTTTTTGCGTAATTTTTCTCTTTTAGTTCCAGGAAGAAGTTTAATAAGATTGTCATAAATCACGGACTTTGCCTTCTTCTCGCTAACTTTATACTCATTTTTAATTTCAACGAGCTTTTTATCATAAAAGAACGCCAACATAACATTTCTTTTTGATTTGCTTGAATTGCTAGCTCTTTTGCATCGCATGCTTCTTGAAATAAACAGGCTAGGTTATGTAATGTATTCAAAGAATGTTCCATATGTATTACTGTAGTATCCGATTTTCGTGACGGGCCGTCACGGAGTTTTCGATCATGTGGCTATCTCCAGATATTAAAGTGGCTGTGAAATCAAAGATATCACCTACAATATTATTTGTTTCTTTCTTCTTATGAGATTGAGATATTTTATCTCAGTTGAAGGGACAACGTTGTGAATCTCAGACTCATTACTCATTACTCGAAGTTAAGTCTAGCTTCTTTTCCCGGTTCTTTTCTCTTATTTTCTCACTAATCGTTTCTTTATGTACTCTATCCAGGAAATCATTGATTTTCTTCTCCTCCGATGATATAGTTTCTATAGGAGATGTGGAAGATCTGCTGCTCTTTTTCTGGTATGTATCAGAAGAACAAGAGGTTCGATGCGAAGCATCATCAGATGTTATATCGAAACTATTTTCTATTCGTTCAGAAGTAATATCAGAATTTGATGTAAGCATGCACATTCGTGCTGAATTATCATTGCATTGCAAGTCTATTTGTTCAGAGTTATCAGCGGGACCACTATTTACTTAATCGCCCGTTTCTCAGCTTTCAGGCGTGAAAACAGAAGTTATAGTATCATTATCACTTATTTTTGTTTCTTCTAGTAACTGTCTTCGTTTTACCATGTCATTGACCATACTAATTATTTGAATACTTTTAATAATTAGACTATTTATAAAATTTAAATGTTCGCACAGATTAATAAAATTATCAGTCGATTTACGAAGATCGCACATTATAATCGGTAACTTGATCGTTAGATATGGTACCATTTTTCGAAACGGTCCACAGCTTCGGTCCATAATATAGACGTTCATTTTCGTATCTAGTTATAGAAAATGATTAATGTAATACTGTAATATATAACGTGCAGTAAATATAAATGATAATTACCATAAAAATGGACTAAAATGATTTTTAAGTCATCTAATAGTTTAATTATTTGTTCGTTTTCCTGAAATTTCTTTACAAAAAAATAAAAATGATTTAATGCATCATTTCCGAACTTTGCCAACCTAGTAAAATCCTCCCCGATGTGGTCTTCGTTATCTAATGAAAACGGACCATATGATATCTCAGCAAAAAAAAAATCATAGCTGTGATCGTAGAAATCATTTCTAACGTAAGAGAACATGTCCGGATATCGAATAGGACCATCGCCTTTAATATCTCTAAATTTGGTCGATTGGCATGGTGAACCGTCCCATCGCATTTCGACATTTGTGTTTAAAAAAACAAATTCGATTAAACTATTCACAAAATTATGTGAATAAGTCCTTTCATTGATCGCTGGATCCCGATTTTGGTATGACGATTTCTTCCAAATTTTTTTTCTACAAAAAAAATTATATTTATAATATGTAACGACACAGTAACTTAAATACTAAATTCCTAAATCAATATCTGCTTAAAAATTATTGCTTACACCGCATTCATAAAAGAGAATAGTTCGTGAAAATAACTTTCCTCAGATTTTATAACCTTTGGAAATCTTGCGTCTTCATAAAGCATAAAATCTTCTATGAATAACCTTTTATCAGAAGTTAATTCGATTTTTGTCGGTATGTCTGATGTTAATTGACGTATTAACTGTTTTTTTTCTAGTATGTTGTAAAGTTTGCTTTGATTTGTTCTTAACGATCCTTCGAACAGAATACCACTCGAAAGAAGATCATCCGGTTTTAAATCCACCTTCCGAATATTTTTGCAAATCTCTTTCGCTATGTTGGGCATATTGGAGTATTTGGTGTAGAACTATTATTCAACATAATAAGGTGTTATAAATTTATTAAAATCATCTCAATATTAAATCTGAAGAAAATATTACGATACTTACCGATTTAATTTTGGTTTTTATTTTTTCCTGGTCGAAATTTTTTTCATTTGAAATTTCTACGTAGTCACTATAACCGTCGCTTTCGTTTTCATCATCATCTCCATTTTCATTACCACTTGCATTATCATCATTATTTTCATCCCTTTCATCATCATCATAAAAAAATAACAAGTTTTTTTCTTCAGCGCATCCCTTAATGATTTGTTGATAACGAACGTATTGCTTTTAATATAGAAACTTTTAATTGTATAGTAAAAATTTTTTGATGAAAAGACTTCCTCTGGTTTCTAGAAATAAACAATAAATTTTTAATATCGTAATATTAAGAATACAATAATTACATATATTTTCAGAATCTCAGAACATAATCTATAACAATTTTTAGAGGATGATGCGAAAGCCTCACTGAGGGTCGCGAAAATGCCAATTCATCATTTACTGGCTAGTCAGAAATATTGTCAAATCATATAATGCGAAAGCCTCGCAAGTTTCATAAGACAATTTCGGTCAATGAAGTTCATGACATATATTTCTGGAAAGTTAACATGCATATACTCGGCTTTTTTATACATAAAAAAGCATTTTCTTTAAAACTTTGCGTGTATGCTCTCTTGCACATTGCCAAAAACACGAGGTTTCTTGTCTTTTTTTACGTATCTGTGTGAAACTCTCACTCTTTTCCTTCGGTTTAAAAACCTCAATTTTTCGAGGTAAAGGACTCTAACTTTCATCAGAAAATGAGTCAACTTCAAGACCTTTTCGAGTTATATATGAACAAAAATAAATCCAATTTATCTAGCTTATATGTCTTTTATATTTTTTTAGCGATTAAAGGCAGTTTGATGTTTGAGAAAAATTAAGAGCGCGTTATCAATACGTTTTTTAATCAAAATATTACTGTAAGTCCATTTTTTATATTTAAATCGAAAATTATAAATCCACCTTCCGAATATTTTTGCAAATCTCTTTCGCTATGTTGGGCATATTGGAGTATTTGGTGTAGAACTATT